ACTCACACACTCACACACTCACAAAACAATTTACATACTACTAGAAAGGATCCAACACATTTGTAGTAACAGAATGTAGCTTTCACCATCAGAAACCAAAAGCAAAACGAAAATTAATGGATATAATTTAGACTACTCATCACATTCATCCCTAGAAATACTGTTTGTAAGTGGCCCTTGGATAAAAAGCAGTTAAAATACCATCCACCAATTAAACCTGCAATAACGCTTTTTTTTTTTTGGCCACTTACTTGAATGCAGTGGAAGCAACATATTTGTACATCACCTCTGAAGTTTATATGGCAAACATGTTAGCTGTTTAAATATCCAGCAGATGCAAAGCAACATTAGCATTCATTTGGAGTCAGGTTTGTGTCCAACCAACGAATGGAACGCCAATCTCACTCTTCTTTTAGCTCTGTTTTGGCTTCCACCCAATGATTTGGTTTTAATAAGTGGTGTTTTGTCTTTAAGTGTCCTATCTGTTGTCATGTTTTTGTGTTTTGTGTGGACCCCAAGAAGAGTAGCTGACGTTCTCCCTCAGCTAATGGGGATCCTCATAAAGTCAAATAATAAGATCTAATCCACAGAAAAATATCTGGATATTTAGCTGCTAAAAGCTCAACTATGTCCGCCAGCTAATTGTTTATTTTGTATTTATGCTGTTTGGTGCTGGGCAGGTAACGTACAATCGTTTTTGGGAGATTTTTCACTTAAGAAACCGCTGCCTGCTGTGGCCGAAGACAGCACTATGAGAACGGTGACAATGTCACAAGAGTAAAAGGCAAAACAATGAGCCGAAAGACACTGTAAAGCTCCATAGAACATAGAGGAACGGCAGTGTCGGTGATAAGCAAGTCCTTTCACATGACACAAGTGATCCATTAATATAAAAATACTGACCATAGCTGCTTTAAACACCAGCAATGCTTTTCCCGTGAGGACATTCCTTATAGTAAATCTACATGAGACGACAAAGTGTGAAAAGCTTCCACTGCCCCGCCTTCAGATTTAATTTCATCGTTTCTTTTTTTATGTTTGTCCATTATAGCAAGTTTCATTCAATAGCTGCATCAACCTGCTGTTTGAGAATGTGACGTTGACAAATGAGCAATTACAGGAGCGATATTCACGTGTCACATCTGTGGCCAGCATGACCCACGATTAGCCCTACTGATGCTGAATGTGAGATGCGAGAGCTGAGCCTGTCAACGCAGGCGCCTGGGAAGGCAGCGTGGCCCATTCTGGCATGTCATCCATCACTGGTTCCACTCGGCTGCCACAGCTGTGTCACTGTCCCCCTCTCACAGCCCGCTGACCCCACTGAGGACGCACCAGCAGGATGATCAAATATCTCTCTGGGATAAGAGACAACAATCCTGCTGCACTGACAAGGCAGAGGACAAAAAACCCCTCTTTCCTACATATCCACTGGCACGGTGACATCTTTATCAATAAGCAGCATTTAAAACTAGGCAGCAGCAGAGTTGTGTAAAGACACATGGCTGCTTGCCTTTCATTCCAAAAAAGAAAAAGAAAAAAGCAGGGATTGTGAAAAGCAGAGTGAAGCCATTAGCTGCGGGAGGCTGACACAGAAGGTGAGGGGGGTTAAATAATTGCCAGAGAAGAGAGAGGGTGGATTGAAACAAAGATGAAATGGAACAACATCAGCCAGACGTACTCCCAAGATAATTACTTGCCATGCAGATTTTATCAACATGGCAATCATCAGGGCCAGTCTACTCCTTTTAAAAATTTCTATCAGATGTGAGTGACCTACAGTTTGGATGCAAGGCTGAGCCCCCAGCCGCTCTAAGTGGACACTCAGTGGAGGGCTTACCTCAGTCAAGCTACAGACCTTTGACCCTATCAACAGTCCCAGGTTGCTGTAGACTTTTTAAAAGATCCTTCTCCAGCCTCTGC